TTTTTTTTTTTAACTATTATCATAAATAAATTTAGTAACAAATTTATTCTTGCTTTAAGTGTGTTTTATACTGGAAAACAAGACCACGGTTTGTTTAAAAGTCGATTGAGACCTAGTACCAACCTGGCACATGGACACACTCGTCTCTGTGGCGCTCGTCCCACGCTTTGGTTTTGCAGGTCTTGCTACAGTAAAAGACCTCACGACAGCGGCTACAGGCCGACAGCTGCACACCCACCGAACAGCCGCACTCATAGCAGTATTTGAAGTGTTGCTTTCTGAAATCAAAACCACAGACACTTTGGTTTGCAACAGTGTGTAATAATGAAGTACCTCTGCACTCTCTGACTGATGCGTTTATTAAAGGAAGTCCTGTTGTTCTCCTCAGGAGAGCTCAGCAGACTTGGTGTCGTTCCTGATCCGGTACATAGAAGCTTCTCTGTGGGACTGACACCTCAAACAACACACAAGCACACAAATTAGCAACCTGTGATTTGTTAACTGAGTGACACTTAAAGTGAGTTTTGCTTCGTCAAATACAGATGACGCTGTAATAGGCATAAAAAGTCGAGCATGTCTCCAAATAATGTTCTATTAAATCTCTTTATTTTATTAAATATATTTTCACAAAATATAATAATAATAATTATTATTATTTCAATTATTAAATGTATTATAGATTTTAAAATATTATTAATTATTTTAAATTAAATATTTTTATTTAGAATATATAAAAATATTTTTATATGTTCCTTAATATATTTAGAATAATGCATAGTAATTAAAATAATTTAGAAAATGATTATTATTACTGTTATTATGTATTTTTATTATTATTAAAAATTACACATTTTTATAACATTATTAAATCAACCAATAAGAATGCATATTAGGCATATATATTATTTTTATTATTCAGAATATAAAGAATATTTTAATGCATGTCCATTCATATCTTCAGAATAATTAATAATTATATTATTAATTCTTAATTAAAAATGATTAATTATCTGTATTACTTATTATTAATTATTCTAAACTACATACAATTATAGCATTTTGTTAAATCAACCAACAAGAATGCATATTGCATTATACATATATATTTTATTTAGAATATATAGAATAATTTAATGTATGTTCATTAAGAACATTTAGAAAAATCCGTCAAAAAATAGAATAAGTATATTTATAATAAACGTAT